TTGTGTAAAATATAGATTCTCGCATTAAAAGAGTTTTGTAAATTAAAACGTCTTTAGAGTTGAACTTAACATTAAAGCAACAGTGTGTAACATTTAGCTATATCTTATAGCAGAATTTAAGAGAATCACTAATCACTAACTAAGAAGTCATGGATTATTTTCATCTTGTAATAAGCTGTTTATATCTGCATGGGTGCGGGTCGACACCGCCATGTTTCTACAGTAGCTCGGAAAGGACAAACAAAAGGCTAGAAAAGTCTAAAACTGTTTGTGTTGAAATGATGAACTGGCGTCTGTCATTGTAGCTATGATAATTTTACATATTACAATTCCTAAATTTGTAGTTAAATTAAATTTACCACTTGAAATAAGAATATTTCTAAAGCTGCTATTAGATATGTGTCTGGGAATATCAAAGCTTTATGACACCTGACGGGTGTGGAATGATTTTTCAGTTGGTTGCAATAAGGAACCTCAACCACTAGATGTCGCTGGAAATTACTCACTATTCCTTTAAATATAGAGAAACATAAAACCAACAAATGGTAACAATTTGTGCACACAAGCCTGTTGAATAGAATCTGAGCTCGTTTTTGTTTCTGTCTTGGCAGAGCCKCTTTCTGTTTAGTGTTTTATCAAAAACGGACAAAGCTTTTTCATTTTTTTTTATAAAGGAAAATCTGATTCTGCACACACWYKAACACAATCTTTGTTTACTCATGCCTTGCCTGTACTGGTGGAGCTGAATGTTGAAGAGTTTGCAGGCYTCTGTTCAGCTTTKTTCTTCTTGTGTTTCTGATGTTTGACTGGAAGTGGTCACTTGTGTTCTTACGCYGTTAACCGACGGTGTGCTGACAAAAATTGCAGAAAGTTCGCTGTGGTTTTGTTCTGCCCTAAACTTTGCCCTAGGCTTTGCATTTTTTAGTATTATTTTAGAGGATGGCGGTGTTTCAGCGAGCCTCTTTCCTGCAGCTGACATTTTCTGGGTTATTTTTCTTATGTGGAGGGGGAACGTGTTGATTTTTTTAAAACTTTATTACCACAGACAGTACGACCTGCGAGAGAACAGCAAACACTCCGAGGTTCTGATCGACCTGACGGAGTTCTGTGGCCAGCTGGCCGAGGCCAAGTGTCTGGCAGTCAACCCTCGGGATAACAACTACCTGGCGGTGGGAGCCAACGGGCCGTTTGTTCGCCTCTACGACATCAGGATGATCCACAACTACAGGTTGGCCGTCACACACGTCCACTCTTCCTTTTTTTGAACTGCATCAACTCAGTTTTGCTCATTCTGCAGGAAATCTGTGAGTCAGAGCACATCGGCAGCTGTGCACACGTTCTGCGAAAGGCAGAAGCCAATCCCAGATGGTGCCGGGCAGTACTATGTAGCAGGTAGATGGCTCAGTTGTCTAAACGAACTGTTTTATGAAAGTTAACAGAGAAAGACGGGGCTGAGTAACATCATTCATCCTGTGAACGCTCCAGGGCACCTGCCTGTGAAACTCAGAGACTACAACAACCGGCTGAGGGTCCTGGTGGCCACTTACGTTACCTTCAGCCCGGACGGCACCGAGCTGCTCGTCAACATGGGTGGAGAACAGGTGATGTCTATCTGAGCAAACAAAAAGACGAGCTGTCGAACCTCGCTTTTCATTTCCCGTCCGTCACTCGAGGCTCAGTGTTGTAAGCTTTTATTTGTTTGTTTCCTGTAGGTGTATCTGTTTGATCTAACCTTTAAGCAGAGGCCGTATACCTTCTTCCTTCCAAAAAAATGCCAGCCAGCAGCAGGTGAGTGAAGGCTGCATTACTGTAAATAAAAATGTGTCCGTACGCWGCATGTTTCTGTTATTTCTGCTCTCCAGGAGAAGTGCAGAATGGAAAAACAACAAACGGCGTCTCTAATGGGATTCATCTGCCTGCCAGCCATATTCGCCTCGCTGGAAGTAAAATACACTCTAGGTAGTATTTATTTGTTCGTATTTAAATAGTTGTAAAGTATCCTGTTTCTGTATGTTCTTAATCCTCAGGGTCAGGTTGTTAAAAATGTCACTCCTTCCTCTCACTCCTTCAGTTCTCTCGAGCTTCCCCCTCACTTGGAGAAAGTGAAGCAACAAGCTAACGACGCGTTTGCTCGCCAGCAGTGGACACAAGCCATCCAGCTGTACAGTTTAGGCATTCACGAGGCCAGCGGCAGCGCCATGCTGTACGGGAACCGCGCTGCGGCCTACATGAAACGCAAGTGGTAGGTGTTRAAAGAGGTCCACGATTAGTTGTAACATTATATTTGATAAACTTTTAACTGTAAAATAAAGACTGTAAAAATACTGTAGGCTGTTTAGTTTTTATAATTTTTAAACTAAATTTTTAAAAATAAATTAAACTGACTAAGCCATTTTATTTACACACAAAGCATTCTGGGTAAAGGATGGCGTTGATAGGTCCTCTGTGTGAGCGAGCTATATCCACCCTGAAGGTTAATCTTGGACAATATCTGATGATCGACTCTTTTAYATGAAACCAGAGAGCGTTGACAGAGAGGAGCAGGTAGAAATGACTCAGCCTGGAACTGAAAATATGGGTGGAGGACCTCAGTTTAGCTTGTTTGTCACGCTAGCGCCGAGCTAATACATATAAGACAATATAGCGTCAACGCTAAAGCTAACAGGCTAAGCTGAGGTTCTTCTTCCATGAAGCAGCTCTGTTGTCCTCCATCCATATTTTCAGTTACAGGCTGAGTCATTTCTACCTTCTCCTCTCTGTCAACGCTCTCTGGTTTCATTTAAAAGGGTCGATCATCAGATATTGTCCAAGATTAACCTTCAGGGTGGATATAGCTCCCTAGCAGCCTCACACCGAGGACCTATCCACGTCATCATTTACCCAGAATGCTTTGTGTGTAAATAAAATGGCTCCGTCCGTGTTAAAATATATTTTAAAAATTTACAAAACTAAACAGCCTACAGTATTTTTACAGTCTTTATTTTACAGGTAAAATATTTGTTTATCAAATAAAGTTTAATGTTACAATTAARCGTGGATCCCTTCTAAAGAAACAATTCATAATCTTCACCCCAAAGCTTTGGAGTCATTTTTTTTTGTGTTGTGTGTTTCCCAGGGATGGAGACCATTACGATGCCCTGAGGGACTGTGTGAAGGCGCTCACGCTGAACCCGGCCCACCTGAAAGCCCATTTCAGGCTGGCGCGGTGTCTGTTCGAGCTGAAGTATGTGACGGAGGCTCTCGACTGTCTGGACGATTTCAAAGGGAAGTTTCCAGAACAAGCTCACAGCAGTGCCTGCGACGCCTTAGATAAAGACATCAAGGCTGCTCTTTTCACCAAATCAGAATCAGGTAGTTTCACTGGAAAAAGCTGTCACAACATAAAGAAAAAAGCATCCTGTTTGATTAGTAGTTTTAAGACACTTTAATGAATTGTGTTTTTTTTTTTGTCTTTACCAGCAGAGGACAAGAAAGGCAACAGCTCCGTCCGGTTCCACTCGTTCAGTCGAAAAGAGTCGATTCCCGAGGATGAGGTCGTGTTGAGGGAGCGCAGTTTCGATTACAAGCACAGATACTGCGGCCACTGCAACACCACCACCGACATCAAAGAGGCCAACTTCTTCGGCAGGTCGGTACATCTCGCCGACACTAGGGGGAGCTCTTCAGCTGTGTGATCAAACGAGATCTGATCTTAATCTCAGCATCAACAAAACCCACAGTGCTTCAACTAATAACAGGCAATTACAAGCTATTGTGTCTTTATTGAGTCCGCCCTCTAAACATTCAGAGCTGGTGAGAAAACCATGTGAACCCTTTGGTTTTAGGAACTTATCCGCAGATAGCTTTGACCTCAGACTTTATTGTAGCTGCAAATCTCAGCTGCTACAACAAAATGGTTTCATGTTCCCTCAGAGCTTTCAGCCTCTGCAGTTTTAAAGAATTTAGCTCCAATGTTTGTTCCTTTTAGACTTTTTTTCCCCCCAGACTTAGTCTTGTTCTCAGCAACAACATTAATCGACCCGTTATCTCTTTACACGGCACACATCGCATTGTAACAGAAGCTTTTCTTGCTGTCTGTTCGACTAATTATACTAATTTTAAATGATGTCGTGTGAAAGAATAAAAAGAAATCACACAACAAAAGTGTAAAAAAACAGGACATTGAAGAGGGGAAATCAAACATAAGTGAAATTATGCAGATAAAATAGAAACGTGGTATTTAACAGGTTGTAGTTTTGTGAGCAAATCTGCTCAAATGGGTAAAAGTTCATTCATTTAAGTAGTAAAAATATTACTAATAGTAACAATACAAATGTTGATAACAAATAGAGATACAAGTAATGAACGTACAGGTGGTGGTAACTTCAACAATGATAACAGTGAGAAAGTGGAGCATGGTGGAACAGAGGCTAGAGAAGGTCAGCCTGTGACCTGAAGGTTGCTGGTTCAACTCCCAACAAAAATGTGAGACATAAACCCCAAGGTTTGTTTTAACGGAAATAATAACATTAATACAAGGATCTAAGATTACAGATTGCTTTATAATCCTTCTTTTTGTCTCCTGTTGCCGAAGCGGGGGACATAGAAACACTCTCCGTCTGTCCGTTCACCTTATGAGATGATTTAAATAACGAAGGCCTGTGATGATCCAAGATGGCTGCCACCGTAGTCAAACCGTACATCGCATAAAAATAGGAGTAGCTTAAAAATAAAAGCAGCTGTTGAGCTGAATTTCTGTTTGTAAGTAGATCTAAGTATTTGCCAACACATACTCTTGAGCATTTGAAGATTGCGAGCGATCCCGCAATATCATGGGGAGATCACAGTTTGCTGAGGTGTGTCTCCGATCAACTCGTTTTGAGGCTGTCTCTTTAAATTCAAACGATGTGCTTCACACCTGGCCCGCCCCAGCTTCCAGCGTCCTTTCTAGTTTGATTTGTGACGAAACATTTCATTTAAAAATGAATTAGATGTTAACAAGGAAAGACTTGTCCATCCAGCCTTACATGTTGGAGCCAGAGTCTGACCCAGAACCAGAGGAGAATGAGGACCACCAGATTGTAGTTAAGTCCAGACCAGTTTTGTCACAAAGACTGTGACGTAATAGTTCAGAAAATGTCAAATAAAATAGAGAAAACTGGACGAGTTGAAAAATATGATCCAAACAGAATATAAAGGTATCTTTTAGTGCACCAGGAGAGACTACATTTAAATTGTCTGCACTCCTAAAGACTCCAAGTAGACAACAAAATGTATTTAATAACTTAAGTGGATTTTGCCTATGTCCCCTTTAAAAAAATCTGAAAAAAAATCATTCTGATGTCCTGATGCATCTCAGTAATCCAGGTAAAAAATCAAAAAGAAAAAAATTGTGTAGGTCTTCTGGACGGGTTCTTCTCTAATGAAACGTTTCGTCTCTCCTCCAAAAGACTTCTTCAGTCTGAGAGTTTCAGGCAAAATTCAGGCTTTTAAGCCCTGCCTCCATGTGACTGACACATCACATGGCTATCGTTGACACCTAATTAACACCTATTGTTAACAGGGGGTGGAGTGATACTGGCAATGGCAGCGCTGTAGGAGGGGGATAACTGAAAACGGAGGCCTCCACCTCTGTTTAACGATGGACGGTCTTTCTTCACAAAAATGGCTTCTTTTACTCCTCTCCCAAACCAACGTTCCTCTATCAAGAATGAGAACATCCTCATCTCTGAAAGAGTGACTGCTGGCCTGTAAATGAGTGAAAACTGCAGAGTTCTGGCCATTAGATGTAGCTCGTCTGTGTTGGGACATTCTTTTGAACAGTGGCTGCTTTGTTTCCCCGATGTATAACTGGTCGCAGTCCTCCTGGCACTTAACAGCTTCAGAGAAACTGAGACGTTTATTTTCTAAACATGATGTCCCAGTGGCTTTCAAACCCCAAAACACATTACGGCAAAGGCTGGTTCATCCCAAAGATCCGGTGCCCCGGCACAAACAGAGCAATGTTGTATATGCTGTTAAGTGCCAGGAGGACTGCGACCAGTTATACATCGGGGAAACAAAGCAGCCACTGTTCAAAAGAATGTCCCAACACAGATGAGCTACATCTAATGGCCAGAACTCTGCAGTTTTCACTCATTTACAGGCCAGCGGTCACTCTTTCAGAGATGAGGATGTTCTCATTCTTGATAGAGAGGAACGTTGGTTTGAGAGAGGAGTAAAAGAAGCCATTTTTGTGAAGAAAGACCGTCCATCATTAAACAGAGGTGGAGGCCTCCGTTTTCAGTTGTCCCCCTCCTACAGCGCTGCCATTGCCAGTATCACTCCACCCCCTGTTAAAAATAGGTGTTAATTAGGTGAGAGTATCAGTCACATGGAGGCAGGTCTTAAAAGCCTGAATTTTGCCTGAAACTCTCAGACTGAAGAAGTCTCTTGGAGGAGAGACGAAACGTTTCATTAGAGAAGAACCCATCCAGAAGACCTATACAATTTTTTTCTTTTTGATCATTCTGATAACTTTGGGTTTTAAAAGTAAAAGATGATCAAAACTTTTATAATCGGTTGAAGAAAATTAATGAGTTTCCAACTAATGAGTTCAATTGACCCTTATAGTTTATTAGGATGCAACTATAAGCTTTATTTCAACACATGGTACTTATATATTAAAAGGACTCACATGCTGCATAATTCAGTGTTTATGGTAAATTTCATGGATGGTGGTTCGCACCAGAAAATGTTTTTCTGACCTCAATGGTTTTATGACATGGTTGTAGAGAGATTTTGGCCCACTCTTCTTTTGTTCAGTGTTTGGTTTATTGAGGCTTGCAGACATTAGTTACAGCTCTCAGGGATTCACCACAGCATTTCAATCATGTTGAGGTTTGGACTTTGACTGGACCAGTGCAACACCTTGATTATTATTATTAAATATTATTATTTTTTAAGCCATTCTGTTGTAGATTAGCTGTTGTGTTCATGACCCAGTTTAGCCTCACATTTGACTCTAAAATACTTAACTTTACAGAGGAGTTTGTGGTCGACTCGATGACTACAAGATGCCCAAATCATCACCCCTCCACCACCGTGCTTGACAGTTTGTTGAATGTGTTAATGCTTACAGTACTTACTTTGATCTCATCTGTCTAAAGATTTAGTTCTAAAAATCTAGCAGTTCATTCAGATGCAACTTTACAAAGACTGGTAACTTGTTTTAAGTGTTTTGCATTTCTAAACATTTTGTTTTTATTGTAAAATGATGAACCACTTGTTTAGAAACAAACTTAAAACTATTCCCATATTAATGAGCAGCAACAGTTGATTCTTTAAGGTTATGACTGATGTGTTTCCTTCCTGGAATTGTGTTGACACACCTGTATGGTCCAGCCAGACAAACTGCTAAAACTCCTGCTTTATAGAGGTGCTCACACTGATGGTGGTCATGTAAGCTGGCTGCTGCTTTCCCTCTTAAATCCTATAGAAGCAGCAAGGATGAGTGGTTGTCCTGACATGTAAAATCCAAGATTTAGACGTCTTTTACACATGACTGCCCGTGCCATAATGTTTGTTGTGTTAGCTTAAAAAAAATGGCACCCAGTTGCTTAACCACCGTCTCATCTGTTATTATTCTCGCCTTATTTAGTTGAACAATCACTGTTACGACAGATTTTGTTTACAGTTTTGTTTCTGAACCTCATTTACCAGAATATCCTGCTCAGTTACTTGTCACATCTTTTTCCGGATAAGTCCTTCACAACACTCTGTTAGAGTAGTTCGGTGAAAAAAAGGCTTGCACACGTTTCCAGGTAGAAAGGTTTAAAAATTCTCTGTAAATGTTCCTCAACCCAAAGACATTCCAGGAGTCCACGGGCAGATCTGAGCAGTTTTCTTTCCTCTCCTCAGCAAAGGCCAATACATTGTGAGTGGCTCAGATGACGGCTCTTTCTTCATCTGGGAAAAGGAGACGACTAATCTGGTGAGGATCCTGCAGGGGGATGAGTCAATAGTGAACTGTCTACAGCCCCATCCCAGTTACTGTTTTCTGGCTACCAGTGGCATTGACCCTGTGGTTCGATTATGGAACCCCAGACCAGAGGTAAACAAAGTACATTTTGTCTATTTTAACCAAATACAACCCCAAATCCAAAAAAAAAAAAAAAAAAAAAAAAAAAAAAAAAAGTTGGAACACTGTGTAAAATAGAAATAAAAACAAAATTTGCACATCTCTAAGTTAATATTTATTCACAGTGTAACAATACCTAGGGGTGCAACGATACAGAAAATTCACGATTCGGTTCGGTTCAATACTTTAGTCTTACGGTTCAATATTTTTTCGATACAAAAAGAGAAATTTCCATGCCTCTTTTTAACTAGTAGAAGAACACAGATCCACTGATCCTTCAACACAGAGCATCTTCAGAAGACAAGTTGATAAAATAAATCTGAAAAACCCGTATTGTTCGATACTTAGTGTGTTTTGAACAGTTGGGTACTTGTACATGTATTGTTGCACCCCTAATAATAACATGTCAAATTAAAGTACCTTTCTTTAAAAGTTGGGACTTTTAACACTGTGAATCATCCCCTCTTTTAACAACAGTCTGTAAACATCTAGGAACAAAAAATAAACAGTTTTTTTGGGGGAAAATTTCTCATTCATGTCTGATGTAGGATTCCAGCTGTTCAACAGTTCTGGGTTATCTTTGCTTGATTGTTTTGTTAGGTGGAAACAGATAGATGTCACCTTTTCAAATGCGTAAGATGCCTGTTCTAGAGACATTAATGCACCCCATACCATCAGAAAGGCAGGCTTTTCAACTTTATACTGATAGCAAAGTGGATGGTCCGCTTCTTGTATGTGGTGTCTGGGATTTCCAAAAGGAGTTTCAAGTTTCGATTTGAGCAGTTTTCTACTTTAACTTGGTCCGTTGTATTTATGAGGTGGTGTCCCGATACTAGTTTCAATTCTCAATCAGAGTATGAGTAAAAGTACTTCAGTTTTGGTACTAGCTTAAATATTACACAACTTTAAAAACACGTTTCTTTTATTTAGGACAAGTCTCGCCTTCCTTATAGGCCTACAGCCCCTCTGACTGGATCCTTTCAAATAAATAACATGATACATACTTTTGGAACATTTTAAAATACCTAAACATAACTAATACAATTTTCTTCAACTTATGGAACTGGAAACTTTTTTTTTTTTTGGAAATGCAAACTTTAACGCATTCAAAGGAGTATCGATACCAGTATGGATATGGCTATGTGTATCGGTCCTAAGTATAGTGTTCACACATGGCTTTTTCTTTGCATGATAGAGCTTTAACCAGCTAACTGTGTTTACAGACAGTGATCTGTTGAAGTGTTCCTGAGCTCATGCTGATATGTCCAAAATTGAATCAGATCTGTTTAGGGTAGTCTTATAGATTAAAAAAAAACTTTGCTTCAAATATTTTTTAAGTCTAAGTTGTTGTTGATGTTGTTTTAGTTTAAGGCGGCAGGCTGTAGAGAAATAGGTTCACTGTCTCCCTGTTCCTCCTTTCCCTGCTCCTCTTTGCTGCGGATGCTGTTAACTCCGCCCCACTTCACTGTGGCCGACTGTCCACTTGTCCAGAGTACTGCAAATTTTTTTTGTGGAAATTATGGCTTTTTTAATGTCAAGATACAGGTCAACACCTGAAGGGGTTGACATGTACGTACATGTTCAGATTCTTGAAATCTTTTGATGTTATGAACCGTAAATGATGAGATATTTAAAGTCATCACTTCTAAGAAATTCAGCCTCTTAAATGTGCTATTTATACCCAGAGCTCTACTGATCTGTTGCCAACTAACCTAATTAGCTGCGAGTTGCTCCTTCAGCTGTTTCTTACTCGTATCACTACCAAATCTTTTGTTGAGAACTTTTTGACATAGTACAACTTCTTAGTTTAAACATTCAATATATCCCATCATTTCATTCTGTTTTAATTTACATTTTGCACAATGTTCCAAATAGTTCAGGGGTTGTGTTTTGCCATAATATTTATGATACTGTTCACTTTGTGGGGGTTTGTTCATCCTACAGACGGACAATGAGAACGGCCGRGTGGTGGAGGACATGGACGGAGCTGCTCAGGCGAATCAGCGGCGTATGAACGCCGACCCGCTGGAGGTGATGCTGCTGAACATGGGCTACCGCATCACAGGACTGCGCGGCGTCGGTCCGGACGGCTCGGACGACGAAGACAGCTCGGAGGGACAAGTGCAGTGCCGGCCGAGCTAAACGGACCGCCGCCCGTTCTGCAGAGCGGATTTAGGAAGCGACGCACACTCTCTCTCCCACCCCCGCTCCTCGTTCGACCACCCCCCACCGCCTCCYCCACCCTTCATCCCCGCTCTGACGGAGTGCCGAGCGAGCGCCGTGTCACATCGCCGCACTTTGCATCGCCCTCCTGTGACACCAAATCTGTGGGAGAYGAGTTTGTGGAGGGTTATCACCCTTTTCAGAACGCCAACAACACCTCAGCCTGATCCTGGGAGCTGTGGGGCAGGTGGAATACTTTAGAGGAGAGCACCTRCGCCACTCCCCAGGTTCTCACTAAAAACAGAGTCCAGCGCTTAAACCYCTTTGGGTTTTTGTTGGATAGTCAAGTGACCTGTTTTGAGGTCCGCATGGCCACAGATTTCTTCACGTAGGACGAGATCACGAGCAGTAAACGGTGCTTTGTTGCATCTTACCCATTCGTATCGACGGAGCAAAAGCGCCCGCTCGTCAAAAGGCTGCAAGTTACCTGAGTTAGACTGAGTTTGTCACAGAAACCTAAGAACTGATGGTAGCAACTCGTGAAGATCGTTGCTCTGTTGAAATGTATTTATAAGCTTTGTTTAATTTAAAAACAAACAAAAAAAGAAGGCGGGTTTCTGCTGCCAAAGGTTGCCATCTGTTATACAGCCAAGGAGTAATGTGTGGTTTCTATGTTCCTGTCACACGTAGTTTTAATATTTTTTAGTTTGAGCTTAAACTACTAAATAAGTTGTTTACAAGAGTCAAGATACGGMAGAGGAAGTGTTTGTAACAAAAATAACGTAATAAATTGTTTGTCCTGCCACTTCTTTTTTTTTTGTCCCAATTATTTGAACTCATGCTTTTTGGCGATGAAATAGTAAACTTTAGTTGAGTAGAAGTGGGACACAGATGCTAATTTGTGTAATATAATAACCGGGGATGGGGCAAATCATTTTAAGGCGGCAAGGTTCCCCCGGCTGCATGGCTGCGACATTAGTCCACTGCTTCGATAAGGTTGCATGTGGCTGAAAGTGTCAGACGCTTGGAGAAGAGCTTGTTTTAGGTTTTTTTTATCCTAAATTCTAACAACTCTTCATGAATTGGATCTCAGCCTCATAAATCACTTGGCTTCCATGTGTTTAACTTTAATTTAAAATCCCCTGTTTCTCTATCTCTGGGATATCTTGATGCAAACAAGAACTAATAAAATGATTGAACACATTCTTGCTTGTTTTTGTTGTGACATTCACACGAACACGGACAACAACACTATCTGGGTTAGGAAGATGTACTGTCGCTGGAGCTGGGGTCCGCTCGTTTATCAGTGTCGGCTCCGCTCCGTGCTTCTGCTGACTGTTCCACAGCAGATGTGAGGGTCAGTAGTTAGGGGAACATCTAATGCCCCACATACTGTAGAAAGGAGGGTACAGAAGAGCAGCGACGATATTACTGCTGACTGGGAATAAAATGTTGGGGAAATTTAATTAAGAGGCAAACGACATAGATAAAGTACCACAAAGTAATACCTGAGTAAAAGTACAAGTATGTTAACAAAATAAAAATACTTGGGTAAAAGTCTCCTTTAGGAATATTACTTGAGTAAAAGTCTTAAAATATTTGATATTTTTGTACTTAAGTATTAAAGGTAAAAGTATTGATTTAAAATGAGCAGTTAGATTTTCTATGAGGACATTTATTAGGAGGTGACCTCCCCAAAAAAATACAGAAATGACTGTTGTATTAAAATAATTAATTTGTTAAATTTAGGATGAACTAGTCCAGCTGTTTCAGTTTATATAGATATATCAAGGCTGCACAAACCTTTTCAAAATGAAAATCTATCTGAGGGCTGCGGCCAAATGCAATAATATAATTCATGAAATACTTCTCAGTCCTTTTATTTTAATGATAAAGGTAAAGGTGCTTTATTTGTCATCAGTGTATGTTTCCACACAATGACGAAATTTGTGCTCTGCATTTAACCCATCCACACCCAAGTGGAGCAGCGGGCAGCCATGTGAGGCGCCCGGGGAGCAGTTAGGGTTAGGTGTCTTGCTCAAGGACACCACGACATGTGGGTATGGCGGGGYGMRGAACCTAAGACTTTCGGGTCCCAAGCCGGCTGCTCTACCACTACACCACAGCCGCCCCTGATTATGTCCTGCTGGAGTGTGACATGATTTGTCTGTGTTCAAATTAATACGGTATCAGAATTTTATATATTTATACTTCTCATTCAACCATAATTAAATTCACTCTATCTAGGAGGCACAACTTATATGGATTTTATTAATTTTTACAATAACAAGCTGGAATGAAAACAAGCAAAAATAAAAGTAACAACTTTCTACTTCTTGTCTTTTTTAAAAATGTAAGGAGTAGAAAGTAATTGTGTGAAAATGTAGAAGTAAAAAGTAGGCTGAAAAATAATTACTCAAGTACAGATACCCAAAAATTCTACTTAAGTAGCTACAGTAGCAAAGCATTTGTACTTAGTTACTTTACAACTATGTAAAGTACCACAAAGCGATACTTGAGTAAAAGTACAAGTACCTTACCTTAAAATTGTTTTGGTAAAAGTTAAAAGTTTCTCCTAGGAATATTACTTGAGTATTTGACATTTACTGTAACTTTACAAAAGTAAATTCCTGATAAAGCTTAAACAAAAGGTAAGGAAGTTGGTGCATGGTTGATTATMTCTTTGTTGTAGCAATGCTTATTGACCATAAATCATATATTGTTGGAAAACCTGTTATTTTTCCTTTTAAATGGTGCCACATTTGTAAGGAACATGCATTTGTAGGATGAGCAGTAGAGCCAAGTATGTGGGTTGCACACATGAAAATTTTGCCAAATCTCTGCAAAACAACTTATTTTTGTGACTCTTGTTTTGAGCTTCTTTTACCTCCAGATGATGCCAATCAGGTGCCTGATTGGTAATCTCAGTGCAGAGAGATGAAATTCTGCCATCAGTGGTAATCTCGTATATCCACAGTCTGGGACTGAACTCGATCCTCCAACGCTCGCCCCCACAGAGCGTGGTTTATGAGAGACTACCTTCAGGATTTGGGAGTGGAAAGAATGGGAACGCCTGCCAGCAGTCCTGACCTTAACCCCGTGCTTGGGAGTGCTGTTCGTGCCAGACGACTAACACAACCATGTCGGCTGATTTGCGACAAACGCTGATTGAGGAATGAGTTGCCTTCCCACAGCAGTGCGTGAGGAAGAGGTGCCAGGCTGGTGGCTGTGTATGGTTCTTCCACACGCTCCTGCTGGCAAATGAATAAATTGTTAAATCGACAATATGCCTTGTTTCATCCAGTTCACCGAACACCAAACAAGTCAATGGCAGAATAAACTTGGCAGAGAAAATTTGGTATTTTTTCCTTGTGTGCGACGTACACATCTCTACTACTCATCATCCCACAAATGCATGTTCCTAACAAATGTTGACACTTCTGCATGGTGGAGCAGTGGTTGTTTCCTCAGCAAATCCTCTTTCCTTCGATGAGTGGGTTTTCTCCAACAGTTTAAAAAAAATCCTGCACGTTCGGTTAACTAAAGATTGTTTTCAACTGTGATGAATTTGGTATATTTGTAATCACTTATTTTGTATGGTTTTCATTTCATTCTGCTGGTGTGATTTTTTTTCCAGTCTAAAAAATTGAATGCAAACATACAGCAAAGAAAGTGACAGTCCTTTTGTGTTTTTGCAATAAAATAAAAAAAGGTTACACAATAAATCAAATATATTTTAATAGGCGAAGGATGTTTGTTTGAATCCTGCTCCCACTGACGGTAAACACAACAGAAGAAGCGCAAATAAACGATGCTGCGTTCAAGGACCACACCGTTTTGTCGGACAGCGCGCTTCCGCCTCCACGCTGTACGTCACTGAAGGCTGTGATGGCGGAGGTGGACGGTAGCGACATAATGATGACTTACCACGGTGATTTCTCAAAAAACGAGAGAAAAAGCAGCCGCTACCCGTACTGCATCGTCTGGACACCTATTCCCATTTTATCGTAAGAAGCTATCTCTTGTTTTCCGCTCCATAAGCCTCAGCTTCCCCAGAGAGTGCAAGTTCATTGCTTAATTCCAAGCTGATTAGCCACAGAAGCTCATTTTTATATTTTACCACACAGTTACTTTAAGCGCACAGCAAATATTGTGTTTTGTTACATAAATAAAGATAAACGAGTTGGTGCTGCCCTCCATCCTGCAGGTGGGTGCTCCCCTTCATTGGTCACATGGGTATCTGCACATCTTCTGGAGTCATACGGGATTTTGCAGGATCCTATTTTGTCTCGGTACGTTGTGCATCTTATATGGCAGGCCTTTGTGCCATATAGTTATAACCACACCGCACTTTTTTTGATCTCATTATTAGCATTCCTGCAAGTCAAATTAACAATAACATGCAGAACTGAAATTAAAGCTAATTGTCCTTCTACTTTTATGGCAATAACTGTTTCTGAAGGGAAAAGTCAGCCACTATTGCTAAAAATAATTATGAATATATTCTTTTTTTTTGTCCACCATAAATGAGTAAGTCTTTAAAAGCTGTTTAAGCCTAAAGTAAAATTATCAAATTGAAATGATTTAACTTTATCTCCTGGAAGAATTGTTCCGTACAGGTTTTTATAAAACGTTATGCTTTCAGGAGCTGCTGACGTTGAAAATGTGACTTCTCTTTTCTAGGAGGACAACATGGGGTTTGGTCGACCCACAAAGTAAGAATGATAATTACATTACGATAACGTCTCAGTGAGGTGGTTGTTGAAATCGACTCACTGGTCAACTGTTGCTGCAGGTTTTGGAAACTGGATGTGGACAAGGTCTGTGGTAACGGTGCCGCCACGTGGGACCAAGCTGTGCACGACGCATCTGAAGAATACAAATGCAGGCCGGTGCGAATGTGGTTTTTTTGTTTGTTTGCGCTTCATTAACATGCTGTATGTTGCTTTATCAATATTAATAGATATATTTTCCTTTTTTAACCAAAGCATAATCTGTGCTTCGATAACTGCCATTCTCACGTTGCCATGGCCTTAAATCTGATGCGATACGACAACAGCTCCTCCTGGAACATGGTGAACCTGTGTATGCTGTCCTTCGTTCATGGGAAACACGTGAGGTGAGTATTTCACACTCGTTAAGCCTCTTCTTCCAGTAGTGGAAGAATAGTTTGTAAAGAAAAACTCAAAGTAGTTTTCAGAAATGTTTTCAGGATGTTCAAGTCTAGAAGATATCAAAATTTGGATTTAAGCAAGACGTTGCAAACTCTGGTCTTACTGTCGCAGTTGTGTGACAAAAAAAATATTTTTTTGTTGTTCTTGCACTGCCTCAGAACCAGTTCTGTGCACAAGCTCCTAACTGAACAATTTTCTCGCAGGGAATACACCGAGTATCACGCAACTGGTCAGAACTTTATGAGCATGTTCCAGCAGAAAAGCAGCTCCAGTGGGCCGCTCTCGTTTCGCTTCCACCGCTGGCTAAGGCTGTTGGAAAATGCGGCCATCTTCACAAGAGTTCTGTCGAGACTTAAATAGAAAGTCTGATAAATCTTATAGGGATTAGTCAAAGAACTCGTGGAAGGAGATTTCACAGTTTTTTGCATGGAGGAGACAGCGTGGAGACACAGGTGGCTGTTGAATATTCGTGACGTGAATCAACAGACCACACATGCAGTGATATCAGGACAAGACAATCTAACATTTTGGATATCCCCAAATCTGAGCCGACTAGATCCCTCTTAAAGGGATCCATGATTAGTTGTAACATTAGACTTTATTTGATTAACATTTATTTTAACTGTAAAATAACTACTGTAAAAATAATACTGTAGGATTTTTAGTTTTTATCATTTTTAAACTAAAAGTTTAAAAATATATTACACGGACGGAGCCATTTTACTTATACGCAAAGCATTCCGGGTAAATGACGTGGATTGTTCCTCGATGCGAGGCCGCTAGCAAGCTACAGTATATCCACCCTGAAGGTTAATCTTGGACAATATCTGATGATCGACTCTTTTAAATGAAACCAGAGAGCGTTGACAGAGAGGAGAAGGTAGAAATG